AAAAGAATGGATATAGCTCAAGAACAACATAAATAAGCCCTATAGATAGAATTTAATTTAGAAATTATATACTTCTGGTAATGAAGGACTGTTAGATGGGTTTGGGCTATTATTGGCCACCTAAACTCCTTTCAATAACTCCTAACTCGCCTGAGCTTACTGAATATACCCAAGCCCCTCCTAGAGCAAAAATTCTTATTTTAAAAAATGCATAACTTGTTGCAACGCGATTTCTTGGAACCTTGAGTTTGAAAAAGCCGCATCCATGCTTCAAACTCATTCGACATGCAAATAAACGCTCACGAAATTATGTGTCTCAATATGTGTTGTGCATGATCATTACCTTTAGCTGTTTCTTCAACAGTTCAAAACCTTCGAGGAGAGCCTTGCGATCGTCGACAGAATCCCTGAAGAATAAGAAAAGATATGCGAGCACTACTAGCTATTTACTAGCCTGAAAGGCTGATGTGAGTAGGATTTACAGGACTTAATACTTGAACAACCAGGAATAAAACTTGGCAAGAGTTATGAAGGCGCTAGTAAATATGTCATTATCTATTTTTATAATGAATCTATGCGTTCGATGTCTTGCCGATTTTGAAACTAGTTAGTGTTACTTGTGTCTTTGGCAGGCCAAAATACTGAGAAGAAAATGTTGCATGTTTGTGTTTTAGACATGACACCCTAAACCTATGACAAATGATTATCAGTGTGCGCCTTGTGCTAGATATTCAATAGCCAAAGAAACTGGATGGATTTTATCTCCAAAAGTCTTCCTACACTACGTTTTACATTCAGTCATTAGAAAAGACATTTCTAGTATAATGGCGCCAATTTACAAGGTCCTCAGTGTGATGAAGACAAACACTCGACTCACCTAAACATCTTCTGAAGCGTTTCTGGACTTAAGTCGTCAGGCAAATTCGCTAGCAAATCCGTAAGGTTGGGAGGGATAGTGACATCATCGTAATCATTGTAGTCACCTGAAGTGCCTTTCAAATCAGTTAACCTTTGTTTATTGTAAAGACAAGTTCCCCAGATGTTTGCTTTAGTTTCGTTAGTTTCGCTTGCCGTTCCTCTCACTGACCCAGTTACGCATATAAGTGAGACTCGAGAGGTTAATTGGTTGAAATCGACATCGCAATTAAAAGATGAAAGGGCGACAGTTGAAAACTCTGCACTCTGCTTGTTTCTTAGATCCTGACGAGAAACATTCCGAGAGGTTGAGAAAAAAAAGGACAAAACGGGATTTTTAACATACATTAGGTGCACTGATTTGCACAAGAATCCA